ATTCAGCAGTAAAGAAAGATGAAATAATGAAATTTGTAGGTAAATGGATGGATCTAGAAACTGTTATACTAAGAAAAACAACATATGTTCTCCCTCATATGTGGATCCTAGCACCAAATCCTTTAAAATTCCAGGCCCTTTTAATAAGATGCTATACAGCAGTCCCTTCTGCATGAAATAATTACCATCATCACCACTTCAGCTGACCTTCCCTGATCGCTAAACAGCGTCACAATTGGGCTTGTTGATGGTTGTGCTCATTCATTAAAGGAGGGCCAAGCAGGGTCATTGGACCCTCCCCAGATTATCTAGCTACTTTTCCCAGCCAACTGTATGTAATTTGACCTTAATCACACATGGCCTCCTGGATTTGGGGAGGGCTAAAGTATACAATCTGGGGAAGGCTAGGAAGAGAAGGCATGACCTATGTTGGGTAAAGGCTTTCCAGTGTGCATACCCTCAGGTCATACATACACCTCAGCAACCCCTCAGTTATCTCGGTAAGTAAGCTCAATAAATTTATTGGTTTCCTAGTAAAACTTTAATCAAACATTATTGGCTTCACACTAGAACCTTAAAAGGGACTAAGCATTGCTTAGCATCCCCAGGAAAAGAAGTCTCACAGCAGATTGAAATTATGCAGATTGAATTATGTCTCATAATTATTTTTTTTTGAAAAGAAAATGAGAATGTAAAAGATGTTAAAAGGATATGGAAATAGAGATATTTTCCAAAATAGAAAAAACGAGAAAGCCTAAGCAAGTGATGAAGCTCTATGTAGGTTTGTTGTGATATATAAAGGACACAAAAATAATATACACATAATCTTAAAATTTCTATGGTCGTAGTTTAGTCAACTAGTTTAATGAACAAAATATATATCTAGTCAAGGTTTATCTGAAAACATTTTTTTACCCAAGCACTATCTACATAGCATGGTAATTAAAAGTACCAGACTGGTGGAACTAACCTTACTGGATGTTTAACAGCCATTCTTTGAGGCCTATACCCTGTACTAATCTAGTCAGAGGGTCTTAAAAGACAGTTTTTTGCTCCTTGCCCTCCAAGGTCGACTAAGTTCCAGGGGACTATGGAGCAGCTCTCAAAATGTCCTGTAACTATGGTGAGTCACCTGTCGTCTTGTTCAGGGAGGACATGGAGACCCCACCAGATGAACTTGAACCAGGGCCCAGTCTACAAAGAGGAGGGTCAACTCTCTCATTCATGCTTCCAAGTGAAGCCAGACATGGTCGAGCAGGACCTTTGACTTATCTTCACATAGATGGAATAGGTAAAAGGAGCCAGGAGCTCCTCCCAAGCCCATGTGACCCCTGAGGAACAGACCCTCAAATGACCTTAAGGGTAAAAATAAATTGGTTTATCTGGGCCAACACTATGGTCTTAAACATTCAAAAGGAAAGTATAACCAAAGTTTAAAGGGGTCAATTTATTTTTTTAAGAGTCCATATGAATAGCTAAAGGCTACCTAACAAGTAACAATGCCAGATAGGAGATTCCTTCTTTTGAGTTTTGGCCAGGGTGACCAAAAGGACTCCCAAATAGTAACCCAGCATAGAACTGGGAAAATGATCAGCATTCAAGGGATTACACTTCCCAGACATTAGGCTTAAGTCCATATAAAATGTTATTTAGACAATTACCTCTCTCTCATTGATGATTTTGTTTCTAAGCAAAAAAGTGCTGCTCATATGTAAGATTTCAAATCTTGGTCTCCAGTACTGTAGTGCCCACCTGTAGCTAAGGGAGACAACCAGCTATTGTTCTAAAATGATGGATAAATTTGTTTTCTCCCCCTATCTAGAAGCCTTTGAGAGGGAACTGATACTGATTCTAACCACTCCAACAGCTATCAAAATACCTGAAACTAAATCCTGAATCCATCACTCTCGAGCCCAGCCTTGGAAGACAAAAGACAAATGAGGAGGGACCCAACATAGGGATGCTTTCAGAAGCCTTTGTCAAGAAACTCCAATGGACTCTCATATGAACATTTGAAAATTGCCCTGTTCTGACTTTTTTCTAGTTCCCTGTCTAGAACTTGTAATTACTCTTGCCTTTACTTCTCCTTCACATCTCCTATTATGATTCAAGGACCTTCTTTTCCCCTTAGAGACAGGAGTCACACAATTTGGGAGTCTTTTAGATAGACCCACTGAAGGGGTACTGCAATTGCCTCACCCTGCGTCCCTGTTCAGCATGGAAGAAGCCAGAGTGGTCTGTGTCCTGATTCCCTATCCGCAAGTTGGGTAACCTCTTCAGAGGATGGTGTGATGGAGGTAGGAATTGGCTAGGGGAACTGGCTCAGCGAACTTCCCTAAGTTACTCCATTTTGTTCAGAGCCATTTCAGCAGCAACTTT